CTGATGACAAAAACTTGTAACAAGCAGTTAGCTGTAAATTTGTTGAAATAACGACCCTCTCTTCATTGTATGTTTTTTACAGCTATACATCATTGGCCTCTAGGTTTAACCATAATTATAATTTTAATATCCAAGAATTTGCCAACTTTATTAGTTGCAAATGTACATGCAATTTTTGATGAGTGACAAACAGCATATGACAGATGCCACAGGCTTGATTTAGCTACTCAAACTAGTGTAAACAAGATCCAAGACCAAAAAAGGTAGTTCCAATGCATCCTGATTTATAGAGATGAAATCTAAAACGTATGTGCGTTTAACATAACTCTGTCCAAATTATATTTTTCATGTATTATGGCCGTCAGTGTCCAGTAGAGGGAGAAAAATTATTCTAGACTAATCTGCATTTTGAATTTTGTTTATGGTAGTGTTGATGGAATTGTTAGACTAGACTAAAATACATCGCTACAGATACTGGGTTTAAAATGGATGCTAAATTTCATCCATACTTTAAGGCCCTCTTATTTAACTACAGGATAATATATAGGAATGAGAGATTGGAGATACACTGTAAACTCTTCAGTGATAAGCAGGACAAAGACGTTTGCAGGAGTAAAGTCCAGTAGGCTTCAATTATGGGTCTAAAAAAAAAAAAGAATGTAAAGAAATTTGCAGATACAAATATCCAAATGAGATATTGAAAGTACATAAACTAATGCAATTTCTGTAAGCTTTAGACCAGAACTCTCACAAGCAGCAGAAATGATTAAACTGAAATAAAAAACGTTTCTAAAAATTGTCCTAAAAAGTGGACTAAGTATATCACTGTAGACAATCAGAAGTAGCCTTTATGTTCAACAGAGAGAGGGCAATATTTTGTAATGAGGCAGTCAGCTGTCAATCTTTAAAACGTGGTAAATCTATGATTACACTGAACATTTAAAGCAATATTTAAGTACAAAGGGGCAGGTAAATAGAGACTGGTGGCCATTGTGTAGGGATGCAGCTGATCATGTAACAGGAATAACATGCGGAATCTGCTTACCAAATTATGGCATGGTGCACATAAATGGCAGTCAGCAAAAACTGATGGAGCAATGTGGATACTTCGTTGGGGGTGGATATTTCATCAGTCAGGACTGTCCTTGGAGCCCTTGTCTTGTGAGCATGGTGAAGAGTGTGCGCTGTTCTTGCTTCATACCCTTTTTCCCCACAACAACTCTCATGCTTCTTTCTAAATCTCCTCGTCTAGATCTTCCTCTGCTCCAGCGTCTTTCCCTCCTCTCACTTCTTGTGTTCTTTTAAACTTCCAGAAAAGTCTCCATGCTAACTGCCTCTTCCTTCCAACTTCCACAATCCCCACTTCCCCCATATGAGGGGAGCCTTTTTTGTTTGCATTCATTCCTGCAACCCCCTTGGTTACTTTCATTTGTTTATTTTCAGTGTTGGTAGTTTTGCAGTCTTATCAGGAACCTTGGGACGCTAAATGCTTTTCTTAAAGCTTCAACTCATGCAGCTTCATGACTGTATGGGAATTTCAGCTGGGAAGATATCTACGTTTCTATTAGTCAATAAGCATTCACTGTTGTAGAAGAAAATCTTGATAGCATGAAGCCTAATGAATGGCTCAATAACTAAAAGACAGAAAAAAGTTTACTGCAGTCCCTGAGTATTTTCAGTGTTTTAAGCTACCTGTCCTTGCATGCGGGGGAATAGCTCACAATCTTTTCTACCAGAGAAAGCTCTGGTAGAAAAGCTCTTTTCACTTCTCTAAATACCTGGACTCGAGCCTTCGTGATAACTGTTTCTGCTGACCAGCAAGGGGTTTGTAAGGATTTGTGTATGCAGCAGCGATGGCTACCAGCCCAACTCACACCTAAGCTAGCTGGCAGCCAGCAAGCTGAGGAAATGACGGACAGGTGTTTCTAACAGAATAGAGCTCGGTGGACTGAAAAGAAGGTGAACTGGATGCGGAGATACTGCTGTAAGCATCTCAACTACCTATTCTAACGCTAACGAGGGGCATGATTGTAGGCTGAGCTCAGAGAAGTGACCGCAGCATAAATATAGCCTAAAAGTTACATACTAAGCAACTTTCAATTTTTTGCTTCATGTTGGGTTAGTAAAAAAAAAATCTCCGGTGTAGTTGGGGAATTTTTTCCTAGAACTGAGGGCTCTCGGTTTTTACGTGGAACATGGCTGCCATCTACCGCTGCAGGGGGGATACGTCGGTTTGGTGTCTGTTGGTGGACAGCGCTGGCTGGTAGACCGTTCGGTTTCAATAGCTGCATATGAAACGCTACTGTGATTGGTGGTCCTTCCTGTTTCTGGAATTTACTCAGCTGCCCAGGGGCTGAGGAGGAAACACAGTCGTGTTTGGCAGTTTGGTTTTTTGGGCCCTTCTCTCTTTGCTTGTAAAATAGCTTTCGTTTCTTTAGTTGTTATTCTACCTTGAAATCTTCTGTGCAAATACTTTCACTCGCCTTATTATTTTGCTTCCAACGTCTAAGGATCTTCAAAACCTGAACTCACAAGTTTTTCTGTGGGAAAAAAAACCCAAACCCAAATGTTTTGTGAACTAGTCCTTCTCTCAGGACTTCCTTGTAACCTTTTATCCACTTCTTGATCTTTATGTCTACGAAAATTCTTTTAATCTGTCTTTAAAACAAAGCTGGGCCACTGATAAGAACAGCTTCCTGTTTGCATAACCTCTTTGTGGAATTTCACTCATTACAAAAGATCAACTGGATTTGAAAATGCACTTGATGAAACCTGTCCTATACTCAGATATATCAGTGATAAATTGTCTATAGAGTAACTGGACTTTACACCATCAAGCACGTGACTCCCAAACACCGCCTCACAAAGGGCCGTGTCCACATTTACTTACTGCACCACTGCGGTGGCTGTGTATCTTTTCAAGTGTTGTTATTGACATCCCAGTCACAAAGGGCAATTACTTTAAAAACACTTGCTCAGAAAATTGTCTTGTAACTTGCATTTTGAAAAGACACATTGATTTAAAAAGATTCCATGGAAGCTAAAATTGGCAGAATTTGGCCTGGAGCTGCCAATTTGGTAAGGTACTCCTTTGCCCCAGGGTTAAGAAATCTGATCTCATATGATGTCTGTCAATAAATTAAGCCTATAAATTGCCAGTTGTGAGGCTTTGGGAGCTGCTGTGAGAATCCAAAGGATACATTAAATTGAGCTTCACTTGCACTGAATTTGGATTGATTTTATTCTAAAATCCTGGAGGCTGTTTGATAAACATACTTGTTTTCATTTTTACCACAAGATCAAAGAATTAGTAGAACTGCCTAATTCAGTGATCTGCATTTGAGTGCCAGTTGAAAAGACATTTGTGTGGCTTTACAATAGATTTTTGTAGTCAAGGTTTAGTTTTAAATATAAGGCTGAGTAGCAGGAGTATGTAACTGTCCTCCAAGCTCCATGACGTAACCTTGATTAAATCTAATTCGCCTTTGCTGTACCTTCCTAATGTGTAAAATAATAATTTTGTATTTTTATCTCTACACACATAGATGGGTCATTATAACTAATTAGGGTAGTCTGTGTCCAACTGGAATGATCTGTGTGTCTGTATTTTAAAGTCCCATATATCACACACAGGATAGAATATAACAAAAGCTGCAGCTGCTGCTGCTCTGCCGAAATATTTATTTTCTAAGTCCAAACCGCTCCCCCCTTCCTTTCAAAGGCAAAATTCCCACTGACTTAAACAGAAGTTGTGACAGGTGTAAGAAAACTTCAGTTCGTTCATAAAAGGACTTCCATAAAGCATAATTGCATCACAAGAAGAATGATAAAATATGCAGATCTATTCAAGGAACTAAGAGAACAGAATAGCTTGGAAGGGCTTTTTAAAAGGAAAAATGACAGGTAACATACATACTTATAGTATGACTGAAACATCTCACGTATTCAAGCTGATGCACACACAATCAGCTGATGTACGTCTTGTATGCCTTTGAAGTTTGGAAGTGATGTCCTTGTCACCGGAAGGCAATTTTGCAGAATTGTTTATCATGAGAAACGGCCAGCGCGTGGTCAGAGGCCTGGTCTGGGCCAGATGACCTTTAATTACAACTCACGCTGGGGTATGTACGAAAGCCCAATGGTATCAAGTGATAAATTTCTCAGTAGGCCCTCCTAAGCTTACAGGTTTCCTCTGAAGAGGTCAGAGGACAAGGCCGCACTGGAGGGATATGCCACAGAAGCCCAAGGCTGCAGCTACCACCTCTGCAGAGTCAGTCGGAGCGGGCCCCGGCAGCCGCTGGGGGTGGCTGGCGCAGTGAGGCAGAGCGGGACGGCCACCCAGGGCCAGCAGCAGTCCCCCTGGAGGCCGGGGGGGCCTCGGAGATGGCAGCGGTGCCCTCTCCAGCCGGGC